ATAGTTTTGATTGTAAAGTGCTGGTGCAATATGCCAAGGGCTTCAGAGACGTTCTTTTGGTCAGTAATAGGAAGAGACAGTTGTGTTGTATCTACATTATTATTTTTTAGATAGCTTAAGATTTCGTCTAGCTCATTTGGTATTGTCAGTTTAATAGATGGGATGTCTGTTAGGTTAGTTTCTTCTGTAGTTTTAGAGTTAATTTCTATCCAAGAGTCAGGAATATGGTGAAAGTAATAGGATTCTCCTAGTAGTTTGACTACCTCTGTTAGGGTCTTTGTTGAGGTGATAGGTGTTAGGATGCTTTAATCTGTGATTTTCTCTGGGTTTTCATGAAGATCAGGCTTTTCAGTAGGATTGATGGTCATGATTTCTTGAGATATTGGCAAGTTAAATTTATAATTCTGTCCTATGTCAATGATGAATTCTATAGCATCCTACTTAGCATTGATTGGGAATGTATAGGTCTTCATAGTTTTAATTTTGTTTGGGTCCTTAGAGAGAGGAAGTTTTGTCTGATAGTAGTCATTAGACAGCTTTTTGAAGGAATATTCTTCTCGTAGTTCTTCTATAATTCTTTGGGATTTGCCATGATAGTCATTTGGGTCTAGTGGGAAGTAGCTTCTATATTTATAACTAAGGTCTTGGTATGCCAAAGGTAGTCAAACTTTGGTGGTGGTAGGTCAAAGTAGTTTGGTGGTATTTTTTTCACCTCATAGTATTGGCTAAGTTTTCTTTTATAGTCGCCTAATTCTCTAAGGCATTTCTATCAGTGATTGGGAATAGGTCTCTTACTGCTGGATGAAGATTGGCCAGGTTAGTTGGAAGAGGGTCTAAGTTTGCAATGTACTCCTTGGGTAGTTGGTCAAATTGGTATATATGATGAAGTGCAGTAACCACTGCTTTAGTATGAGCTTTGTTTTTTATAGGTAAAGTAAAAGGTAATATTTGTTGTATATTCTCTGAGATATCATTTGGGTAACTTGGTGGTTGTTGAAGTTTTCCAGAGATGGCCTCATGAACTGCCTTTTGAATTTCTACATGTTTGTTTAGTGTTGTATCTTTAGTGAATCCCTTGTAGTATTTGATTAGTTGTGTGATATATCTGGGAAGACAGGTGTTGAAATTGGTATTTATTATATAGTCAAGAAATAACTTTTAACAGAGTTTCTGATGAATGCTATCTCTTGTGTCTTTGTTAGTTATTGTGATTTGATTTGCTTTTTTGTAATTTTGTAGTACACTGTAGAACATCTCTTTGTATTCTGTTTGGTGTTGTGGTGTAAAGCATTTGGCTCTAGTAAAGGTAAGGAAGAATGCCCGGTCTAGTGCTTAAATTTGGCAGAAATGCCTGGGAGATTTGCTTTTGAGTGGGTTTGGTTGCTATTTTGTATTTAATGAAATCTTGTAGACTCTTGCTAGATTGAAGGCTGATAATTAGTTTGTCATAGTGCCATGTATCGCTATCGAAAAGCTGTATAATTTCTCTTGTTAACTCTTTATATATGTTGTATTCCAGATGCAAATCAGCCCAATTGTTAATCGGGGCAGCCCAGATTGCAATTTGATTTTGTGCTATCAATTTTGCC